AGTCCAAAGCTATCTTAAAGGAACACCACAAGCACCTTTGCCATCATTTTATGTGCCTATGAGACATCCGCATCTTCTCCTACCAACTGTCTTCACTGAGTTAAGCAGGTCTGATGCAGGATCATGCTTTTTGATTGAGAGTTGCCCTCCTTAGCTCAGTGGAGCTAACCAGCTTTTCCTGCATGGAGAAGATGTAAGCAGGACATCAAGAGAATGTGTAAAGCCATTATAAAATAGTTTAATAAATTACTGTGGCATGCCATCATGGTAGTCTTCGCACCATAGCCACTATAGTGGTTTCTTTAACTACTCATAGGATCACATGGAAATGCATGCCATGCCATGGACCTTCAGACCCAAAGTCCAAGTTTAAGAGGCGTAAGTGGTATGAAATTACTGTATTTTACAATAATTTCCTTGAATTACATGGGATGTTAATCTCATCTCCATCTGTCCACTATATGTGTGAGTAGAGTTGGAAGTCTTCCAGGGTTATTGCAGAGGCAGGGTTATTCACTAAAATGAAAATTATTTAAAATTCTAAGCCAAAATTGGCAAACTAAAAAAAACATAGGTGTCCTGGAGATTTTTCCAATGCAAGTATTTTTGCCTTAAATACAACTTTCATATTCAACCTGTTCATGCACACAACATTTAAAATCTCAAGCTTGGATTTTAACATCAATCTTTCCAATTTCAAAATCTGTCCTAAATGTGGACATCAGGGTGATCAGAAGCCAGAGGGCAAAGGTATTGCAGACATTAGGTACATTGCTTGCTACGTTTTCTTGTTGTTCTGTTCTTATGCCTGGCAGGAAGACCTGGGGAAGCCCTCAAGCTTCTAGACTCAGCACCTGATACATCACCATGGACCATTAAATCCTTCATTTAAAAAGCAGATAATGGAATTCCGCAGGGAGCCAGACCTGCCAACATAAGGATGCCATTAGCTAAAACTTCTGCTGTCTTTACACTTGCACACTTGACTTAACCCTTTTGCTGCACATTTTATTTTAGCAACTATTCTAAAGTGAAGGAAATGACAGTTCCTCTGGATTCATTAGTCATCCTAAATAACATTTTTCTATGGAAAATGTAAATAACAAGCGACTGGCATGCCAAGGAAAGATGAGCAAAGCTGTCCCCAGCAATCAGCTTGTCATCTTGTCCCCTGAACTGATGACTTTATGGCAGAAGGGTCACTTTTACTGACAAAATGTGATTGAAAGACAGCTCTCTTTGGTTTGTTTTACATTTTAATTCTGTAACTAAATTGTATTCTGGTATAGCATGGTCCTATTTTTGATGTAATTAGAATATTTTACTGCACTATCTTATAAATGGATCTGTTTCCTTAAAGGAAAACTTCAAAGCACTTAAGCTTATTGAAGGCATTCATTATGTGTGAAGATAGTGCCCTCTTTTTTACATTTTAAAAAAGGGCAGATTTCAATAGCTATTGGCAAATTAACTTTGTTACACCCCCATAGCTGTCAATCAGAAAACAGGTCCTGTTGCTTCCATGTTGTTTAGCTGGTTGTGGAGATAAACTCAAGAGGCAGCATTTGCTCAGAGCAACTGCCTTTCAAACACTTTCCTTTGAACTGCATTGGGAAGTTTGTGATTGCATAGTACATGTGTGAAGGTAGAGGGGACTGGTGGATGAATGTACCCATACCTTAGGTTACCTTAATAAACAGACGCAGGATGTTGATGGTGACAAACAGGCCACAGTTTTATTATCATCAAATATAAATCCATACATTATTAACCATACATTATCATAATGTAACCATAACATTCCCAGTTCCACACCCTTTTCAACTATTCCTGCTGATCCTGGGCAGATGCCTTCCCCCCTCGTCCTATACACCAACCTACCTTACAACTGGCCTAACATTAACTCCGTGCTAACCACTGTCCTGCCTCTGGCTACGTACATCCCATAAACATAACCGAGGTTAGTGGAGGGATCAGCCCTGATCATCTTTCCACGGGACCGCTGGTCCAAACCTGATTGGCAAGGGATCTTGCTGTGACAAGAAAAAACACGTTAGAAACAAATAGTAAACTTCAGCACAAAGTGAGGGAGGGTGGGAGACTGTTCCAAGCTGGTATTATTAGGATTACTGAGTCCCTTACAGAAAATGGCCACCCTTTCCCAGGGCTCCACCCCTTAGCTCACTCAAGACCTCCGCTGCCCTGATTTTCCTCCCCCTCACTCACACATGTCCCATTTCCTGGCTAGCTTTCAGCCTGCCTCCCCAGGGTCTGAAACTCTGGTATGGGTTAAATGGGGTGAGCTTGAAGAGCCTTCAGACAAGATATCTCCAACTTTTGCAAACTCTTTTTAGATAGACCTTTATAACTAAAAAAAAAATGCCTAAATAAATGCACAAATGTTTTCATTGGGGGTATATCTACTAAACAATGAATTTTAGATTTTTTTTAAAAAAATTTTTCATTTGGCCAGTTGATTGTTCCTGCAAACCAACCTATATTAACCGAATCCAACTAAACAGGGTCACTATTGCATAAGCTCTGTATTTTTCAGTGATCATAGCAGGCTCGCCATGTAGAGCAGGCTAATGCCATTATGTAGGAGTTACTATGAAAAGACTCATAAGATTGCAGGGGTACAGTGATGTAAGCCTATTACCTGAGGCTATACAGAGGTTGAGGTCTGTTAAGCACTGCCTCTACCATAATTATATGCCAATTGTGTTGATGAGTGCACTCTACTACTTAAAGCAACACTCCGACCAACATAACCACAGCAGCATGTAAGACGAAGTAGTTATAGTGCCTACAGTGTTTCTTTAAAGAAAGAACAGCTTGCATTCTTACCCGGGTTCTGCCAGGCACTACTTGAGACAGAGAGCTGGCTGTGAAAACTGATACTCTCAGCCAATGAGCTAGCTCTAACTCCTATAACACTGTTTTAAACATAATCTTTAACTCAAAATTGCATAATGTCTCGCCTAGCTCTAATGTCTAACCTTTACTCAAATGCTGTGTTGCATTATCCTAACATATGGCATAGTTAACTTGGCATACTGTGAATTGCAAATACCAACATTCTCAGTAGGTCTCTGCCCTGGATGTAATAATGTAATAATGTGTGCCAGCATGGTCACCTCACTTCTTCAGGTGACAAAACAATTTCTGCAAAATGCATTTTGTTGGGGACTTGTATCCTGTTACATGAAGCAAGTTTGTGCTACCCAAACAGGGGTATACAAAGTGTAACACCCACTGAAAACATAATTGATGCTCTTGTGGGAGACTGGAGTAAAAGGAATCAATTAAAATATAAGCCTTTAAGAAACACTTAATTGTATAAAATGAGTCAAGCTAGAAAGCTAAAAAAAACTAAAAATAATATCAGGAAGTATTACTTTACTGAGAGGGTAGGGGGTGCATGGAATAGCCTTCCAGCTGAAGTGGTAGATGTTAACACAGTGATGAAGTTTATGTATGCGTGGGATGGACATAAGGTTATCCTAACTATAAGATAAGGCCAGGGACTAATGAAAGTATTTAGAAAATTGGGCAGACTAGATGGGCCGAATGGTTCTTATCTGCCGTCACATTCTATGTTTCTATGTTTCAAACATATCTGTCATAATAAAAACAAAAATGGAGAATCACATAAAATAGTTAACATAAGTGATGTGGAATCAATTAATTAATCGATTATCTTGCGTATATGCCCCCGGCCAAATTAAAGAAGTATTGCGTGCACTCTCCTAAAGTAATTCACACCAGACACAGGTTTTGGGTTAATGAAAAACATGAGGAAAGTTTATGTCCCTTATAAAGCAAAATTACATCATATGCATTGTCAGAGATAACATGGAATAATACATCAATAATTGGTTAGGTGTTAAGTGGTCCATTTTATTGCTCTCCCTACCGGGTGTGATGTCACTGGTATCTTGGAGGTCTCCCCCAGATTCCAGCGCCATCTTGTTAATAAGGGTGTTAGTCGATGTCAAGGGGAAACTCCCTAGAGGCCATTTTTAGGTAAATCACATATAAAGTTGAATAATACTGATTGTAGTTATACTGAGGAAATAAGCATTTTACCAACATGGATTGGGTTAATATCTTTTTCCACAACAGTCCCCCCCTTAAAATGACTATTTACGAAAGAGAGAGAGAGAGAGATAGAGAGAGAGAGAGACAACTACTAACTAACCCTAATGATGTCCCTAATTGGCTGCAGGTCATCTGTCTGAACAGGCCTTGAACGCTTCACTCTGCAGGTATCCCGTAGCGGCTAACCCACTACATCTCCTGCGTCAGACTCCTGCCAGTAGAGACAGACGCTGTCCCTGTACTATCCCTATAGGGAAGTAGTTGTCTGTTTGAGGTGGTGGGACTGAAGAGGTGTGTGTGGGGTGTCACAGTCCATATCATCGATATCCTGATGTAGGAATGTAGGTGTGGTGCGGTCAATAGTCTGACCTACAGTCTTCTGTAAATATTTCTGTACACAGGGCATCACACAGCAAATCAGGAAGAGAAAGAGAATTACCACAGTAAGAACTGCCATACCTACTTGAAGGAGAGTTTTCTGCCATCCACTCATCCATCCAAACCATCTGTCCCATGAATTGGGGACTCCCGAATTCCTCTTTAATTCGTCAGAAAGACTTTCTAATTTCTCTATGGCCATGGTTACCTTACCGTTGGGGCCTGTATTGTCTGGGATGAAGGTACAATATGTCATAGTATCGGGGAGTATTTTACACACGCCCCCCTTTTCTGCTGGGATCATGTCTAAGGCCATTCGATTCTGAAATGTCATTTGGGAGGTAGTCTGTAACTGTTCTGCCAAGCCCTGAAGGGCATCTCTAGTATAATTGACAAATCGTTGCTGGTTATAGTAGATATAATTGATCCAGTTAACATTCTTGTTAGTAGTGATGAGTGGGATCAAGGATTCGAATCCTGCCGCCACCTCATCTCTGGCCTGGAACTCATTTGGTACCCCCCTTGGTACTCCAATGGCATCGATATATATGTGTGGGTCGAAACTACCTCGAATGGGGGTTTCTCTTTTTACTCTAAGATACGTGTGTGGTGAATCGTGTGGGCCTTGGTGGTTATCAGAAATTATATGCATGGGCATGATAACTTTGGTCAGAGTACATTCTCCCCACCACAGGCCAGTCATTTTTAATCTGAGCTGCATGTCACCACACAGTCAGTAAATGTCTCCCACGGACTTAACTTGATTTACTAATAGGGCAGTGGGAGGTTCTCGATAAGTGGTACAGTAGCCAGAAGGGAAGTTACCTACAAATTTACCTGTGGCTCCATGTATTTTGTAGCAAGTGTAGTTACCTGGGTACACGGTGATTCCATCAGGTAGCCTGATATTCCCTTGGGTTATTGGGTAAACCTTTTTCCATGATTCACACACTGATTAATTCACTGCTGACTGTGCATAGAGGCTTAAGAAACACATCTCAACATCAGGAGGTAGATTTAAAGGCACTGTACCCAGATGGGGTCTGGCCCCACCACAAACATAACAGTTAATTTTGTTGTGTGAATTAGCATTATACCTCATCCATTCAAGCCATAGATTAGTATCTGAAAACCCGGTCTCCACAGCCATAGTGTCTTCAAATGTGGGATTGGCAATGGCTACCATGTATTTAAGGGTTTTAATGTGTGGTTTTAGAGGGTTAATGGTCATGTGTGTGTAGTCTACCCAGTCAGGTGACGTAAGCATGTCTTGTAAATAGAAGGTCCCCAACTTGTTATAAGAGCCACCCCCTTTCCAATACATTGCCATTATGTACTCCCCAGCGTCTCTTGGGCTGGGATGTTCTATGCTGAGCTTCATTGGGGTAGACCCTGTTGGCTTGCATAAGGTCATTCTGTATAGCAAGGGTTTCCCATATCTGTCAATCCTATCTAAGGCACTTTGTGGTCTGTAGCCCCATGGTCGGCCCGTATTCCAACCCGCTGCTTTCCAGGTACTACAGTGATGTCCCCAATGGTCACCTGTCACACAAATATATGGGTCCTTTTTGTTTGGTATGTCTTTGTATATTGCTGAGTGTTGTGATTGTGGAAAAGTACAAGAGACAATATCAAAGTAATCAAAGGGGAAAGTAGCTACATGTGTGTTTGAAGAATTATACCAGAATGTGTACACATGATTGTCTTTGGTAATAGCAACTTGTTGGGCCTTCGATAGGCCTAGCAGCAGAAATAGGCACAGGAAGCTCATGATTTGGCAGAATCTGCTTCCTCTGGATCAGGAACTTTCTTGCAGTGCAAGGCATGTATCCAGGTATTCTTCCCGGCCAACTTTACAGAGGTAGATGTCGTCAATAGGACTTGGAATGGACCATCAAACCTTGGTTCAAGAGTGTGTTTTCTTAGGAACTTCTTGACCATGACCCAGTCACCAGGAAGTAGCTTATGTGTGCCTGTATTTGACTCTGGATCTGGAATAGAAGAAAACACCTGTGCATGGATTTTGGTCAAGGCATGAGAGAGTGCAGTTATACAATCTACCATTGCATCTGACTGAATTTGAAGTTGCTGAGGAAAATAACAGCCTAACCTGTGTGCTGTTCCAAATAAGATTTCGTGGGGGGATAAGATAAACCTCCCCTCTTGGGATGTACCTTACACTAAACAATGCTATGGGAAGACTCTCCGGCCAGGGTAGGTTAGTTTCTTGGGACATTTTAAGCGTTCATGAGGTGCTTAGATAAATGAGCTGGTCCATGGGCCCACTGAACGGCAGCTGGATACATATTCTTGGGTAGACAGAATTTGAGGTTGATTGTGTATACTTCTTTCTGGAGGGTTGCTCCTTTGTCTTTCCAGCTTTGTTTTTCTTGAGGGGAGGCAGCGGCCTGTTGTTCTCTTAGGAGCTTGAGATCGGTGGGTAGGGTTTGCATAGTGTAAATAGGAGTCTTTTTGACGGACACTCTTCTGTTCACTTCCCGACACTGGCGTGCCGCATCCTTAGAGGCCTGGTCGGCTAAATGGTTGCCATGTGCTTCTTCTGAATTCAGTCTCCCATGGGCCTTTATCTTCAGTATGGCCACCTCTTCAGGAAGTAGTAAGGCATCCATCAATTCTTTGATAGCTGCACCATGTTTCACAGGAGTACCTGTTGCTGTAAGGAACCCCCTGGTTTTCCAGATTAAGCCAAAGTCATGTGCCACGCCCAGGGCATACCTTGAGTCTGTATAAATATTAACACGCTTCCCTTCAGACATCTTGCATGCCACCGTAAGGGCTATTAGTTCGGCTTCTTGTGCTGACTTAGATGATGGGAGTGAAGATGCTTGGAGTATTTGGTCCTCTGTGGTGACTGCATATCCGGTATGATATTGTCCCTGTACATCTGCGAATCTAGAACCATCCACAAACAGAGTGTAGTCAGGGTCAGGTAGAGCAGTGTTGGTAGATGGGTTGTTTCCATTTTCATCTGTTCAAAGCAATCATGAGGGGCGTCCGGGTCAGGTTCTGTAGGAGGGATGTCTTCACATATCTCTGTGTGATATCGAGGGTAACCGACTGTTTTGAAATTTATGGTCCTTTTAGTGACCCCCGTCAATGTGAGCTGTTCTTGAGTTGCAGTACTCCATGTCTTGGCCATTGGGCCGAGTTCTTTCCATGAGAGATCTGGAGACTTGGTGAAAGAGATATGAGGAACAGCCACCTCCCAATGGTGATATAAATGTGATAACTCCATAGGCAGGTGGACTAAGATAATAATGTTTCCTTTGGAGTCACAGAACAGGTCTGTCAGTGTGATGCATATTTCCACCAGGCTGAATAATTCTTCTTCATAGTATGGGTCAGGACCTAGAGTGTTCCTGAACCACAGGGTGCAATGTAAGTAACTCTCGGGCTGTGCATCATGTGGAACTGTGGGCTTTCCTACTTGAAGTTCCATATGAACGTCAGGATTTATGTCCAGGCTGTACCAGTATTGCGGCACTCCCCCCTTGGGAAGTGGCAGAAGAGTGGCCGGATTCAAGGAGTAACATCTTTGTAAAGAGGAGGGAGGTTTGAAGGCGGAGATGTCTCTGAGATGAAAGATGTTTTGGCTGGACCTGAGTCAAGATTGCAGCGATATCATGGGGAGCAAGAACCGTCAGTTTGTGTCTGAGAACAAAGTCATTAGTTTTGTCCAGCAGGGCACTGGCAGCAAAAACAGTACGCAAACAGGAAGGACCACCCCTGGCCACGGGGTCTAGCATGCAGGAAAAGTACCCAATAGGGCGCTGACGGGAACCGTGGGATTGAGTAAGGACCCCTGAAGCATGGCCCATCTTCTCTGAGATGAAAAGTTTGAATGGTAGCTGGTAGCTAGGTAGGCCCAAAGCAGGGGTGGAGGAGATGGCTCTTTGAAGAGCATGGTAACAGGTGCGGGCTGTAGAGGACAACGAAAAAGGTTCAGTCTTTAAAGCATCATAGAGAGGTTGCATGAGTTGAGAAGCCTCAGGGATCCAAGATCTGCAGTATGTGATGAGGCCCAAGAAGGCATGAAGAGCCTGATGGTTAGACAGAAGGGAGAGATTTGTAATAGCAAGTACCCTGTTCCTCGTTAGGTGATGGGTGCCATGGGAAAGGCAATGCCCCAAGAAGACCACAGAGGGCCGGCACCACTGGAGTTTCGTCTTGGAGGCTTTACAATCTTCTTCAGCGAGGAAACAAAGGAGATCTTCGGAATTCTGTTCAGCAGTTGGAAAATCATCCTACAGGACCACGTCTGGGTGGGACTTCTGCCAGGGTTCTAGGACAGCTGACATAGCTTTGGCAAATTGGGTTGGGGAATTTTGTGCACCTTGAGGCATGACAGTCCAAGTTGACGATCGTGTGTGAAAGCAAACAGATATTGACAATAGGGATCCAAGGGCACGCTGAAAAAAGTATTTGCAAGATCAACCACCGTGAACAATTTAGCTGTTGGAGGGACCTGTGAAAACAGTGTATGTGGATTAGGGACAATGGCAGTATCGCAGTTTGTGACTTCATTAACAGCGCGGAGGTCTTGGACCATACGGTATTAGGCGGGTTGACCTTTTTCAGTTTTCTTCTTTATTGGAAATAGAGGGGTATTACACTGTGATACACACTTGACCAGTGCACTTTTTGCCAACAGGCTTTCAACTTGTTTGGAGACGGCGAGGGCTTGTGCAGGTTTTAATGGGTACTGTGGTCTTCGTGGTGGATTAGCTCCCTTAATTAGTGTAACTACCACAGGTGGGACTCGTAGGCGTCCAATGTCATCTTGACCCGTGGACCAAAGTTTAGTTGGAACCCTATCCAGGGCACTGGGGGCATCTGGGACCCTTACCGCCTCCGTGGGGGATGTCATATGTAGTAGTAGAGGCAGAGAGCAAAGGACGGAAGTATCTTTGCAAGAAAAGGGGGTTAGTAATTGAACCTGGCCATCAGCAGTAAAGGAGATAGAACATCTGCTCCTAAAAGGTTAATTGGACAGGTGGATGAGACAACAAACCGAGAGAGAATGTCAGAACCAACCCGCAAGAGCTAAGTTAATGGGTTGTTTTGGGGGGTACCATCGACACCTACACAAGAAACATCTGTGTCGGATAGGTAAGATGGGTCAGGCAGGTCCTGTTCTCTGAGAACACTGCGGGCTGCACCTGTGTCAACTAAAAAGGTAGTAGGATGACCCTCAACTGGTAGGACAACTGTAGCGAAAAGGGCCCCCCCTTGTCCCCTGTAGATACTGCCATGACAGGGGTGTTAGACACAGGTTTGCCGGTTACCTATTGTACAAGGTCTAGATGAGATTGATCAGGGCCAGTGTAGTGACGTGCGGGTGTGGTGGAGTGGCTGGCCTGGTGGGTTGGACGTGTAGGGCGATAATGACTGGGTGCAGTGCATTCATCTTGTTGGAAATCATCTGTATCATAACTACCAGGGGAAGGGTGAACATAGCTGCGGGGTGAGGGTTGAGTATTAGATGGAGAGGGCTGGTAGACACCTTGGGCATATTCCTGGTTGGAGACTTTGGGGTACATGAGATAGTACATGGGATAGTTGGACTCAGGATTAGGTGGTCTAGTGGTCAGCTGTCTAGGCACCTTGGGGTGTGGGCAATCTCTCCGGAAATGGCCCGGTTGGTTACAATTAAAGCATGCCCTGGTCTGAGGCCTAGGGGCGGGTGTCATTTGCTGCCCCTGTGCAGCTGGCAGGGTAGATAGCGCGTGATATCCAGGGGGAACCAGGGTGGGTCTGGTGGCAGGGCTATAAACGGAAAACATAAGAGGATTACTTTTCCTTTGGGGTGGCTGTAGAGTAGATTCTAGACCCTTGGCCACTAGTAAGAGAGTGTCCAAAGGAATAATTCTGTATTTGGGGCGAGAGAGAGCACTAAGCCTTTCCTGATGGCTTCCTTAAGGCCAGCAACAAAGGCAGTGGATAACATCTGGGTATGTGCTTTGTTGTATACACTGAATCCGAGATCGGAGAAAGTTTGAGTCAACCGTGAATGGTATTTTTCCACTGAATCGAGTTTGTCTTGTATAATGTCGTTTATACAAGTGGCTTGGTCAGCTAGTTTATCCTGGGCCCAGGCCCGAAGCTGTTCACAGAATGTAATACCCGACTGGAAATCCATAGTGAGGAGAGCGTCATTAAAACTCCTTTCCATAATGGGCCAATAGGCATCCCCAGCCTTGATCTCACACAGACTATACAGATCACGCCAGGCAGCTGAGTATGTCTTACGAATCTGGGCAACCCTCTGGAAGAAGGGCATGGGCTGCTTCTCAGGGTCGGGGAGAGAGGTTACTAGGGTTGCAGCTTGGGATGGGTTGAAAGTAACATACATTGGGGGAGCCCCTTCCACTGTTGATAGAGCAGGGATGTGGTTGGCTGGGGTGGCCTGTCTCTAGGAAACCCTATTATTCGAAAGACGGAATGGGCTAAGCCCCTGCACGTTGTCATCCTCGGGGGGAACCGGGAATGGGAGACCATGATAGCTGGCAACATCTGGTGCATCGGAGCCGGGAGAACTGACAGCGATGGCCTGTGGAGTAACTAACTGGGAGGTAGTGGGATGGAAGCCTGACGCGGCAGGAGAAGCATCTACAGCATGAGGTTGTCTCGACACGGTAGATTCATTCGACCCAACGATCATGATTGGGTAACTGGGAATTGCCATGAGGGAGGCGGAGAGAGGAGCCGGACTGGGTAGGGGGCGGGCTGAGTAGGCTGAGGGAGATAAGTGGAGAGGGCAGAAATGAGTGATGAAAGATCGAAGGAAGGACAACAGGATTGGAGGCGGGAAGGGGAGGGGAATCTGAAACTACGACAGAAGGGGTGGTGGGTAGAGGAGAGGAAGGTGCAGGAGTAGAGGGTATAGCACCGGAAACAGAGAGGGCGGAAATGAGTGACGAAAGATCGAAGGAGGGAGGGACAACAGGATTGGAGGCGGGAAGGGGAGGGGAATCTGGAACTGGGACAGAAGGGGTGGTGGGGAGAGGAGTGGAAGGAGCAGGAGTAGAGGGAATGGCAAGGGAAGAGGGGGATATGGCAGAGGGAGATGCGACGGGGGGAACAATGGGTGAAGGCGGGAGGGGAACAGGAGCAGAAGGAACAACAGGGAGAGGAACTAGAGGGGCGTCAGGGGAGGCAACACGTAAAGGTGGGAGGGGAGCAGGAATAGGAGAAATGACAGGGGAAAGTGGGAGAGGGGTGATGCCGGAAGAAGTGATGGAGGGAGGTAGCAGAGGGACGGCATCAGTAGCGACAAGGGAAGGTGGAAAAGGGACAGGATCAGAGGGAAGTGGGAGGGGACCGGAATAATGGGAAGTGTGGAGGTAGGCGGGAGAGGGACAGGGTAATAATAGGATCCGTCCGCCCCGAGGACGGGGTACAGAGGGGTGGGGACAGAGGGGCCTATGCCAATTGGAGGTGGCGACTGGGCAGTGACTGGAGAGGCGGGGCGAGATTCATTCATGGTATTCTGGGCACCATCATAGGGCGGTGGACGGGGAACATCAAGAGACGAATCATTATTACAAACATTTCTGTGATATACATAAATCGTTTGTCCTTCAAAATCTAGTTCTTCCTCTGACCAACCCTCCCGCTTGAGTCCTCTTGCTACCCGATACCAAGCCTCCACGGCTTTCGTCAACCCATTATCCAATAGCAAGCCCTCTTTATCAATAAGCAATTTCCTCCAAAACTCTGGTTGTAATCTACCACTGGGTGACATTTGAAAACCACAAATTTTTGCTATCTTCTTTATTTTTAACGTAGCCTCTTCTATCCGTCTGCTCTCTCCTTAACAATATCACAAGCTAAATAGCCTTTGGAAGGTCTGGCGTGCTCTTGTCCCATTTTTACC